GAGATTGAGTAGTACAGGGAGGATTGGACATGGATGGAGAGGGCAAGGTGCCCTTGAAGGGGCTTTGAAGGAGGAGGGGGCGCAGGTGGGTGTTGAAGATCTAGAGGCGGGGAGATGGACCGAGTAGGTCGACTTGTGAAAACAAGATAAGCTGAGGCAAAGGACTCAGCTATTATCTCTATCTAAGATCTATCTTATGGCTTAGTTAAGTTACTAAGTTCTACTTGTGCAAACCCTCACACAATGACTCTTTTTGCCTCTTGTACTACCCTTGCATGACACGTTAGGTTTTAAAATCCATAAGCAAAATTCGGCCAAACATCCTCAGTAGCCCTTTTCTCGAGCCGCCCATCCCGCTCATCATAACTCCACTCTTCACTCCCAATGCATCGTCTACACCACAACAAATTCTCTGGATCATACTTCGCCTTGATAGCGCGAAGACGCGGGTAATTGGGTCCGTACATGGCTTCTTGGAAATTGGGCTCGTACTTGTCGACCTCATTGACATAGCACCCAGAGTCCGGTGAAAGGCTCCTCATAGCTCTGCCTGTTCTGTTCGTTGACGAGTCCTGGAATTCGTGTACGGTAGTCTCGGGAAGAGCAGTATCCCACGCAGATTTCACAATCATGTGAATGGTTGCTTTGCGCCATGCTGGGTTCAACGCGCTATCTACTGGCTTTGAGGAAGCGATCAGAGAACCGGCGAGGATATGGCTTGACATGCCTTTCTCGTAGTCCGCTGCCTGGGGTCCAATAGTTTCGAACATACGGGCACTAGCCTCGATATCTTGAGTCAGCGAGTCCGCAGTTAGAAGGCGGGTCGTGGATATCACGCCACCGGGTCCGGAGGAGGAGTCGCGGGTTTGCTTTGGGAGACCATTGTAGGCGTCTATCCAGCGAGAGTACGTGGTCAGGTTGGACATTGTGGAGGAGACGAGATTACTCGATTCGCGTGCTGGGGCGAGGAAGTTCTCCATAGCGGTCGTCAAACTCGAGTTCGATTTGTCGTACGCCATGAAGTACCCACCCATGGCTAGAGGACCGTTTTTAGCACCAGCAATGGTGTAGTAGCCTTGGAAACCTGCTTCGTTCACTGCTGGCATGTTGGCGTGAAGCGAGGCAACTAGTCTCCACCATTCCTTCGCATCAGTGTTGTTCTTGCCTTGGATATTCCAAAGCCAGACGGCCGTTCGCGGCATAGGGTATACCTTCATCGTTATCTGTGTTATGACGCCAAATGTGCCGCCACCGCCGCCGCGGGTAGCCCAGAAGATGTCACTGTTTTGGCATTCATTCGCGACAAGGATATCGCCAGTGGGCGTTACGATTTCGAACTCGAAAATGTTGTCGGCGCCCATGCCGTAGCTGCTTGTGAGCCAGCCGTGTCCACCGCCTGTCGCCCAACCGACGATACCTACAGTATCGAAGGTGCCACCAACGGTTACAGCATTGTATTTGGCTAGGGCTTGGAATGTTTCGTCGTCTTGTTGACCGGCGCCTAGTGTGGCGGCCATGTGGGAGTGGTTCGCCGAACAAGATTGAGGTGTGTACGACTCGTGGAAGTCGACGCCTTTCATTTCACCTGTTGCGATGAACAGAGCGCCGCAGGTTGAACTGCGTCCGTAACCAGCATGGCCGGTGTTGTTGACGTTAATCTTGAGATTGTGTTCGTTGGCGAACTTAAGGGTGGCTTGTACGTCTTTTGCGTCCGTTGCGTTGACGATCCAGGTTTCGCTTCCTGGCCCTCCTTCGGGGCAGACGGAACTAGGAAGTGTGGTGGGTAGAACGCGGCCTGTGAGTGTCTCATTAAGAGACGTCCATGTTGTCGGTGAAGGCCAGCAGGGGTCGGATGGAATCTGGTGTCGTGTTAAATCAGCTGTCAAAAGATTAAGAGTGCTTAAGAGTGGCAGGAACGTACACATTTCGCAGTCGAGTTTGACACCGCGAGGCCTTTAGAGCAGAGCGCTAGAAGAGCCGTAAAGCTCAAGATCTTCTGAGTTACCATGCTGGCTGGTGATTTGTTGATGAAATGTGCCCTGGAAAAGCAGCTGATTTGAATATTTATACCTCTTCTCCAAATTTTACATTACACATAGTGTCGAAAGAAAGGTACCACTGGCCCATCTGCTTCGCTGCATCGAGGAGTTGTTGCGAATCCGGTATCCATGTTGTACCAAGAGTAGTTCAGGCCCCATTCGCGTATTCTCTCTCTCTTAACGTATTCGGCCCCATCCCAAGCACTAGTGCAAGCTAGCCCCCCGCACTATAGTGACAAGCTTTACTGTTACGCCAGTTTTGTTATTCCACGAAAGTGGGATCCACCTCAGGTGCGAGTACGCGTATTCAAGCTCTCTGGTCGTACCGTACTCCGTATGTCGTCATTGCCTACGAGTGTGGCTAGCTGTGTCCACCGTTAACAACGTTTCCAGAGACGTGGGTGCTACCCAAACGGCGATTACAATTCTCAACCAACCTCTTAGGCAACCTAGAGTTTTACAAGCAAGTCTTTACGCGCGTCTCTCCCACATCAATCTCTTTCGCCATACCTCTCTCCGTCAAACCACTACGCTCGAGCTAATCAACCACCTTCTTTGTAAGCCTGAACGCCCATCATTTCTGGATGGAGAGCATCCTACGAGTAACTCGATTGTTTCACTCAACGAAGTATTCCCCGTAGAACCGTGGCAAGCTGGATTCTCTGTGGGAGGTGTATCGATGGTCGAGATCTTGCATTTTCTCAATAATAAGCTGAGAACGCGCGCACGGCAACGATGACAAGTTTCAACGCGTGGCTTCGCAACTTTGTAGCGATAAATTGCTCACAATGCATGTTTGATAGAAGAGCGTTGGTGTACGTTTTGCCGTGTGGACGATGATTGGTAGCGGGCATTGAAGCTTTCGTCTATATGCCTATTTTCGTGATTATTCTTTGCCATGTATCAGATCACGAGTCTAGTACGTCCAGCTCAGTCCGCACGACGGACGAGAGCGATACCTGCTTGAAGCCAGCGGCAGGCGCGTCCATTGAGCGTGGTTGCATCCACATCATGCCCCAAGGTACCGCATACAGAAGGCAACAGCACCGAGGGCGGTGTTCTCATCAAAGACGGAGGCAAAAACCTATGTTTAAAATCTGATGACAAAGTACGCGATGCGTAGAGAGCGAAGTCGCGAAAGGTAGGTAGAACCCCGCAAATAGCAGGTAAGTCTTAGGAATTAGAGGACTTAAGCCTCGCCAAGTCTCGGATCCGACCCTAGCTCGGTCTCCGAGAACGCCGTCAACATCTCCGACACGTTTCCAACAACAGCGACAACTGGCGCAGGCGGCCTTACAACAGGAACCAGCGAGACATGTTACGTGATTGGAGCGATTGACAACAGAAATGATACTTTGGAACGATCCTTTAGCGGCATGAAGAGCCTCACGACGACGATTTTCTAGAAATGGTGAAGACACTAAAGCCGTAAATGCCGGTGTGTATAACCGTAGGCTTTCATGATGGTTGGAGGTGTGTGGCTTGATGCAATGAGCTAGAGTAGAAAGAAGGATCGCGCACGCCCATGTGAGAGAGTATATAAGTAAAGGCTAGGTTTGATGTTCAAGTCTTCCAGTTACAAGCTTCATCATCTCCAATATTGAAGTATCTCCTCAACATTATCAATCAGTACCTGAATTTCGAAACGATCAACACCACCGTCGACACTCTCACAATGTCCAAATCGACCATTGCAGTCTTTGGTGCCTCGGGCAATCAAGGCAACTCAGTCGTCCGCACCATCCTGAGCACCCCTTCCCTCTCCGCAATGTACAATGTCCGCGCCCTCTCTCGCTCCACCACTTCCTCCGCCATGCAGGACCTAAGGTCCTTAGGCGCAGAGCTCGTCCAAGCTGACATGGACGACCCATCCACCCTCCCTACCGCCCTTTCCGGCTGCACCTCCGTCTTCCTCGTAACAACAACTCAATACACCGGCTCCACCCGCGAAGTCGAAACACGCCAGGCCAAAGCAGTTTGCGAAGAAGCTATCAAGCAAGGAGTCAAATACATAGTATTCAGCTCCATGTCACATCCATTCAAGATCAGTGGGGGCAAGTTGAAGAACGTAGAGCATTTTGACGACAAAGCCGAGATCGAGACGTACATCCGTACCCTACCTGTTAAGAGTGCTTTCTTCGCTCCAGCATCTTTCATGCAGAATCTGCTAGACAGAATGAAACCACGTCCTTCTCCCGCCGGCGACGGTACTTTTGTTCTAGCAGACATGTTACCTGGTAACACGCCCGTGCCGTACATTGACATCACCGAGACTGGAAAGTGGATCGCTCCCATTCTCGCTGAGCCAGAGAAATACGCGGGCAAGTTCTTCGCTGCGGCTGAGGGCCTTTATACACCGGATGAGATTGCGAGTGTTATGAGTAAAGTGACGGGCAAGACGGTGAAGCATGTCCAGCTTCCTGACGAGGTTGTGAAGAGCTTCTTCCCGGAGGGGCTTAGGGAGCAGTTGTATGAGATGTGGGTGTTGAACAGGGAGTATGGGTATTATGGTGAGGGACAAAAAGAGGCTGTGCAGTGGGCCAAAGAGCAAGCAGCGGGCGAGCTTACGGGCCTAGAGGCGTTCTTGAAGAAGGTTGAGTTCAAGTTGGAGTGAGTATGAGTGGGGATGTAACATGGCAACATGTCGGTCACAGTCACGCGACTGGGCGAACACATGAATTTTCCAATAATAAAATAGTCCTATGAACTGGAAAGAGGCATCCGGCGGCGCCGATGCGCGTTTCAAAGTGGTCAGCTAAAGTAGTACGAGAATGTTACACACATCTTGGGTTTCGTTAATTGTGTATTGTTACATGCTTTCTATACTTGTTTCGCCGAGGTTCGTTACAAATGATACATCTTTACTGTACAATTCATGCGCAAACCATGCACCGTTACACTTCTGCCCGGACTATGCACACGCAACTGCACCATCGAAACCCACATCAGACATCAGACATCTCAATATCCGTTGTAGCCCTGCATATTAGGATCAGTGGGGTAACTCCACATTGCCATCGAATCTGGAATGAAGAGCGCCGACAGATCTGCATCCGAGCCTGTACCAAGGTCAAACTGTGTGAAGTCAAAGTTGATGTCGAATGGCTGTTGCGGGCCAAACCCCATCATCTCAGGCGTAGGTTGCGCATTCATGTTTGGATACCAGTTCGGCATGGCTTGCTGGGAATGTTGCGCATGTGCTTGTAGAGCGGCTTGTGCTTGTTGCTGAGAACGAGAATGCGCTTGCGTCTGTTGCTGTTGTGAAGCAGCATTATTACTGCTACCCATGGCGACTTCGGAGAGGAGATGGAGTGGTGTTTGATTTGCGGGCTCTTGGCGAGTGGAAGGTCGGGATGGTTGTTGACTAGCGTTGCGAGCGGATTCGTGGTCGGTTTCAGTTTGGTGGTCGCTAGAGGCACCTTCTTTGATGTGGGCAAATCGTTCCTGTAAGCGCTTGGCGACAAAGTAGAATTTCCCATGGGGTGATTGAGCATCGCGGGAAACAATGGCGTTGAACATGGAGACCAATTGTTCGGTGTAGGCCTCGATTTCAAGATCTTCCTTCTTGATGATGCTCCCTACTTCGCCAGAGCTCGTCACCGACACCCACATCTTCATCAGGCAGACGATGGCGTAGATTGCCCGGACACCTGGGATTTGTTAGCACGGAACATGGGAAATGGGTGAGAAACTTACAGAAGATCACAGGCAGAGTTAGGAGAATGTCTAGTTCGATACTCAGTATCGTGTCTAGGATACCATGGGTAGCGGTGAGACAGTCACCCAGAGCGCCTATATGTGCCGGGCCGACAGGACCGTCTTTCTTGGCCGCAATGATGACTGACGGAGATAGTGCATCCGTGGTGTAAGGGGGCTGCAAATCAGCAGAGCCTTGATTCTGATGCAGCGCGATTTCATGGAGGTAAAGATTCGTGACATGTTCTGCCAAGCGGAGGGTTGCTGCGATGGTCAGTGTGGGTGCGGCATGTGTTCCGATACAACTTACGATCGACGTCTCCCAAAGAGGCGTTCTCCTCCCTCAAGCTATTCAGTTCATTCTCGAAGATCTTCAGGGCGTATATGACCTTGGGATCGGAGATGGCAACCTCAACCGAGGGATCGTCCATACAAAACTCGACCGATATCTTCTCTCCTATGTGCGCCATCTTGACTTGCTGACAGAGTAGTCTATCCGATGGGAGTGCTTCGGGCGAGGTCTCAAGTATGCGAACACTCTCCGCCATGTAGTTGGTCCAGCGAAGTAAAATCGGTCGTCGCAGGACCATGGTTATACTCATACAGAGATAGTAGCAGACGAGGAACGTTCGGCGGGCCTCGACGCTGCTAGAGTTTGGATGAAACCTCTTGAATGGACCAACCGAAAGCTTCATGACATTTGGTGTTGCCTTTCTTCCAAGGCCTAGGTCGAGAGCCATGACTGCAGCGCAATTGACCATCATGTAGAAGTTGTGCTGCTCAAAGTGGAGGGGTGGACGGTACCAAAGCACAGAGATGTGTAGTGCCTGAACAATCTCGAGCGATTTCTCCCCGTTGCGCCAGATGATGTCAGCAAGCTGGTCCTTGAGGAGTTTGGTCAACTCGCGTTGTGTCTCTTGTGATACCAACTGCTCTGCGCTCCCGTGCGAGGATCCAGCCAAAACAGCGAGGAAGAGAAGCGGTTTCTTCTCTCGGACTTCACGGGCTGTGGTGCCAGGAGGGAACGGCACGGCTGGGAAATGCGGGCAGATCTCGTTGACATAGCGAAAGAAGACGCGCTCTGCAATGTCAGGCGTCATAAGATTGTCGATTAGAATATTGATGTGCGAGTGGTCAGCGTGAATCTTGTTCTTGCTGGTCCGCTTCATCTCCGGGTGCTCTGCCAAGTCACGATGGATGGCATCCATGTCCTCGGGGATCGTCTGAAATGTTAGCTCTGGCCGCGCGTGCGTTTGACCTGACTACTCACAGCGTGTGATGTGTTGTCCAGCTTCCTGCGCTTTGGCTCAGGTGCTCTCTGCATATTCTGGGCTGGGCCGTAGCCGGGCGGTATGTCCGGGTACCTGCCAGCCGGAGGCTGAGACCAATCGTGCTCGAGTGATCCCATGCGGTACTGGCCTTCAACCGGCATAGGCATAGAATCGGCAGAGGCCCCGGGTTGTGGTATGCCTCCATGATGCCTGGTCTCGGGTGCGCCTGCCTTTTGTGCATGCAATGTCGCTGTCAATGCATCGATCTTGCGCTCAAGTTCGGCGACTCTGCTGTCGGCCTTCTTTTGGCGCTTCCGGGTTGGTGGTGTCGTAATGCAAGGTCGACCTGCCTTGGCGCAACGTCTACATGACACGTCCGGTCGCTCTTGGTCGCAGCGAACCTTTAGTCCTCGACATGAGTCGCATGCTCTGGGGCGCTTGAGGTCGGCGGGGGATTTGGCAGAACCTGGAGTTCCGTGGGCGCTGTTGGTCAGTGTTAGCGTATATCCACTGGTGATGGTTTGTTGTTGTCGAGCGCACTGGCGACTGCACGCGTTGCTTTCAGGGACAATCATCTGAGAGAGCCAAGAGGCTTTCAACTGGTTTGGACGCGTATCGCGCTTGTCGCAGCCATTGAAGCATGCAGTCTGCGCTTTGCGACACAGCGCGCCAGCTGCCGCGACGGCGCAGGTTGGGCTTCTACAACGTACCCATCGTGGTCACCATCGTCCTCGTGGTCGTCGTCATCGTGCGACGCCTCTGGTCCGGTTGGCGATGTCTGCTCGAGGGCGGGATCGAGTATGTTTCCTAGTGGGGCAGGCTGCGATAGCTGTGAGAGCTGCGGGGGTTGAGGGAGGGATTGGGCATGGTGTTGAGCGGTGGGTGACGGAAGGTAGTATGGATGGCCGGTGTTTTGCTGCTGTGCAGACGTGTAGATCTGCGGCCGCGACGGTTGCACTGAGGATGCACTCGCGAAGAGTCTCGGGTCTATTTCGTGGTCTGCCATTTGGTTTCTGAGACCAAATCGCTCTCGTCGGCGCGTCGGTGGTCGTATATGCCGCGCAGGTGGATCGAGCCTGGCTGTCAGAGAACGTCAGACGCTAGGCCGAATCGGGCTTCGAGCTTTTCCGCACTTTCATTTGACTGACACTGGGACGACTCCAGCAGCAGGACGAACCGGGCGCCCGAGTTGCTATAGGACATGACTTCACTAAGCATCATACATTATTTGCGCGACTACAGTAGGCGCTATCATTGTGGAGGACATGGCTCATAACATCGTTGACTGCATACTACATAAACCACTCCATGAGCTATCCCGAGCTCACAGGCGGAATAATGGCAACCTCGTCGCCTTCGACAATCTGCCTGTCTGCATCCTCAGCATCGTCCTCCCCGACATCAACGTACTCCATGTTGACTGTCATAGCACAGCTGCTCAACACCTTGTTGCGAATATCCGGGTATCTCTCTTCCAGCATAGCGAAGACATCGCGAGCTCGTACAGGAGCAGGAAGATGTTCACTGGCCTTGCCTGTGAAGGTTGAAGCCGCTGCAAAGTACAGGATAGAGAAGTGGCCCTTGGGCGCTTTGGCAGATGCCATGATGCCTGTTGAGACACGTTAGATGTGCATCGCAACATGGACAGATAACAAGTCGAGATGTGAAGATTTCAATCAGGAAAAAATTTGGTCCGCAGTCTCGCCGAAGCGACGTCGGATAATACATGCTATAATTTTGAATACATCATGAAGTCGGGGGTGAAGAGGAGGAGACGGTGTACATACCTTGGGCGTAGTGTGGTGTAAGAAAGAGCGACGGAGGTGTGCAGAGGAAACATGTGTTCGCGCGGCGACTTAGCGTCATCGCACGGGCCGTTCAAACGCGACTTCCCCCGGCCGCACTTTTTTAGATTGACGACATCATTCACGATTCGCCTCAAAATGTATCCTCGTCTTGGGCGGGCTGCAGGCAATGTATGCCTGCGATGCCAATGGCGTCTACTGGCCCAGCGAAGTAGTTCCTGTTCAACACAAAATATTCGTGGACTTTCTACTGTAAAAGTTCCACAGACGCAGAGGCGGGCGCTCCATGCCGCTGCCAACGTAAGTGATACGTCCGGTATGACAACCAACGACTAACAACTGTCAGCGCTCACAACAATCCACCCTCACCACCAACACTCCTACGCCCGCCCCAGATCCGTCTCTCCTTGCTCGCCCCCAAGGAGTTCCAGTCCGTGAGCATCTCGAGCGGTGGCAACATCAATTTGGTGGACCGACAGAAGAAATTCTTACGGCATTCGAGAATCACCCCGCACGCAATAACACGCAGAACGGACTATCAAAGTTGTCGTCCGCTCTCAAGGCCGACCAAGATGCAAAAGAGAGCGAGTGGGATGTGGCGGAGGAAGATGAGGCAGAAGAGGTCATTACTATCGGCCTTTTCCTGAAGCCCGGCGACGTGGTCGAACTCACGCAACCGGGCCGTGAACCCGTACTTGCTGTTTTCGTGCAGCAACTGAATAATGAGAGTCAATTCTTCTCCGTCAATGGTCGATGGACACATTCCTTGATTGGTCGCGTGTCTTTCGCTATCCAAGGCTGCATCGATCCCGCACTTCTTGAGCCACTCGTTCCCTTCCTGCCTACAAATCCTGGCTTAGCCAATCCCAAGGGTGAAGTCCACGTTCCGAGAGAGTTGTCCGCTCCGGTCGTAGCGACCCTCGAACACATGACAGCAGAAGCCGAGAACATTTACAGAACAAATGCCTCAGTACTGGACGGGGCCTACGATGTCTTGGCAGACAATACCAAGACACGTATGATGACACTGTCACAGATTGCGAAGAAACTGCTGGGGAAGCAAGATTCTTCCTGGGTATCCTCACCAGCAGCTCTCCTGGCCGTTCGAAAGGCTCTCCACCACAATGAATTTCGTTTCAACTCCGATGCTCGCAACCACCGTCTGACAAACATTTTTGCTATCCGACCCAAGGCTGATGTCGAGGTCATGGAGGCAGTCCAAGAGTGGATCCGAGAATATCGCGAATACCGTGCCTTGTCTGTGAGAAGTTTCGAGACCATCAAAGATGCTCAGCAAGCCCGCACCGACGGCTATACTTACGTTGCGAATTTCCTTGCGAAGGCCCGCAAACTTATCGCAAACAGTCGAAAGTTCCGTGAGCCAACCTACGGGGGTCTTGGACCCAGCAAGAATTCCTCGCCACCGGACGGATCCTCCAATCTGCGCATCACCTGGGGAGAGACATTTTCAAACACTGACAAACAGATCATCAAGTTTCTGCAAGCATGGGTACTTACTGATCAGTTCAAGGGTATGGCTGGTCTTCAATCTGCTTGTACGAGCTTGGTCTCGTCATCAGGGTTCTACGGTTCAGATGTCTTCGCCGGCACAGGAACTCACGACGACACTCTCAGCAACATCAAAAAAGGTACTGGTCTACTGTTCCTGCAAGAAATAGGTGTCATCTCGCCCCACGACAATCGCGCGATCTATGACGAGCAGCTGATGCTTCCCACCGTCCGACAGTCTCGCAACCTGGAAGTACTTAACAATAAAGTTGAGCTTATACGAAGGAATCCTGACTTTCGAGATGCAATGGCACATCTTCGCCACGATTGGGGATCGACGACAGTATACTGCATCGACGATGTCGGCGCCCACGAGATCGATGACGGCATATCGATCGAACAAGTCAAGGGTGCATCTTCTGAATTCTGGATTCATGTACACGTTGCGAATCCAACAGCATTCTTCGACAAAACCCATACGCTATCTGGTCTTGCCGCCCACATGACTGAATCCGTGTATACGCCAGAGCGATCTTTCCCTATGCTTCCATCTTGGGCTGCCCAAGGGCACTTCAGTCTTGACAAGAACCGCCCTGTCATCACCTTCAGTTCCCGTATTGACAGTACCGGCTCCGTCTTGGAAACGAAGATACAGCACGGCACCGTTCACAATGTTGTCAGCATCACGCCATCCGAGGTGGCTGCTCTTCTTGGTGACAACAGTCCGAGCAAAACAAGAAAGCTTGTTGTCGGTGGTGAGGTGCCACGCGGCACAGAACGGCAACCTCCGAGCCTTGCTCCAAGTCAACTCGATGACCTGCGTAATCTTTATACTGCGGCCCAAGCCTTATGGACGAAGCGAAGGACTGCTGGCGGTGTTAAGTTTGCTACCGGAGGTATTAGTGCTCGTGTCTTCGAGAGCGCCAGCCAGGGTGGCTTGAGCTGGAACGCCCCATCATTGGATCGGGCACGTTTTATTCAAGGAGACCCGATAATCGAGGTAACGAGTTCGATCTCGGACGGTTTGATGCAGTTGGAGATCGGACCTAGGAACATTACTGAAGAGATGATGCTGCTTGCCGGTCAGACAGCGGCTGCATGGTGTACTGAGCGGAACATACCCGTGATGTACAGGGGTACGATCGAACCACCAGGCGGAGATTTGGAACCAAAGGAGCTGCAACAGCTTGTGCAGACCCACTACGAAAAACACGGAAAGGTACGACTGGATCTCCATTCGCGATGGACCAGATCGTTAGGCATGGCCGTTGCACATTCTTCGCCTTTGCCACACAAGATCATCGGAGTCCCTAGCTACATCAAAGTCACGAGTCCTCTCCGTCGCTTTACAGACATGATTGCGCACTGGCAAATCGAGGCTGCCCTACGCTGGGAAGCACAAAACGGCAGAAAATTCAAATTGGCGCCGGGGTCCAAGTCCATACTCCCCTTCTCACAAAGCCAAATGCAAGAATCTATCGTCACACTTTCCCCTCGCGAGCGGATCATAACCCAGACCAAGCGGAATTCCACACGCTTCTGGGTTACCCAGGCTATCCTTCGTGCTTTCCAGTACAAGGAAGCGGAGCTTCCTAAAACATTCACGTTCTGGACAAGGTCTGTGAAGGTAGGGGCGGGGTTGGTGGAAGGTGAGATACCGGAGTATGGCCTCAAGGTTTTCATGAACAGTTACGACTGCGAAGAAGGTGATGAATGGGAAGTGGCGCTGGAGAGAGTCGACCTTTTTTTGAGAACCATCTGGGTGAAGCCGATCCGCCTCTTGGACCGAACTAACAAAGCTGTCTAAGCCACTTTGCTAGAATCTTCTCATCTGCTTCTCTCGCAACTGCCGACAGAAGATCGCGGAAGCTGAATTCCTGGGCGACGGTGGGGTTGGTTATGTTTGACGTCCCGGCAGACGGTATGCCTGGCATGCGAACAATTTCAGGTTCCGATGGTGGCAAAACGAGGCGTTTTGGTATTACACCACGGGGCTTGCGCTCCGTGATTGTAGATCACTCTCAACAGCTCATCGATTCCAAATTGCCAGCCTTGCATTCGCATCAATTCTGCTGCGGAATAAAAAAGACAGTACGCAGTAGTAACGTCCGAAACAACTAGGACTGTCCAACGAAAGCTTGAAGCAACGGAGGTGTTCCAACACACGCCCCTGCAAGCCACACCAAGCCACGGTGGTACCTGCTACGAACAACCAACATAGATGTAGATCTGTAATGTCAAGATCGAGTTCTCCGCTCAGTTGTAGGAAGGAAGCATTTAACCGGCAAGCAATCCGGTTCGTTGTGCATGCATATGCGCGCGTGGGCAGGGAAGGGCGGGGAGACCCAGAGGCTCGGGCCGTCGACAGGTGCGTCAGATCTGTGTGCTGTGTCAAGCATCCTGTATTGTTCCGATGGCCCCTTCAACCCGCTTGGCGGTATCTTTTGTACAACTGCGCCTCGGTGTTCCATGCGTATTAGCGTAAGCGCAATGTAATACCGCCAGTCTGGTAGTCCAGACTATGGTGAAAGCCCAGCATTTCTAACATCAGTGCTTCTTTAATCTACCAATGACTCGGAGGCTTCCCTTACTGGAATGAGGCTCCGTGTTCGTGTGTTTACTTATCACGGCAGTGGCTAGAGGTGGTATATGTAATACTCCTACATAACAGATGACTCGAGCTTCTCAACACGATTCGACAAAATACATGATTCCGACCAAATGTGTACCATTATATCTGCCACACTCAACAAACAATCACGTCATCTTCATAGTGTCTCCCTAGTTAGTCTTTGTCAATATTTGATATAGCATAACAAACTAGTGTTGTTCTACTATGTCAGCTGCGGAGGCTCCATACGAACGAATACATATCTCTCAAGACCACTCTCCAAGTGCGGCCGACACCAACCGAAGGAAGCAACAGCCTCAACATCCACGTCAACTGCTATCGTGCACGAAGTGTAGGGAGCGCAAAGTCAAGGTTGGTTTCATTCTTCGAACCGCGATCCACGCAAAGATCTGTCGAAGCGATAAACTGGCGGTTCGGGACATGGGTGTACATCGCGCTGACTTAGTATAGTGTGATCGCACAAAGCCATGTTCGGCATGCTGTGCTCGTGGCTCTCCGCGAGACTGCTATTTCATCGCGGAGGATGGCAACTACGCTCCGATCCAGCAGAGTTACGAGCTTCGGAAACTACGCGCCGAGAACCTACGCCTCAAAGAACGGTTACGCGCCTGTCAAATACCGCTGGATGACGATGACGCAGGCCGCGATGTCTCACCCAACTTACTGTCTAGAGAAGGCGCTGCTACATCTTATAAGCGACGCGCTACGAAGCAGAAACGCTTTCAGACTTCTGAATGGCAAGACAGCATATATTTCGGCTCGCCCGGGTTAGCTACTGTCATCAGCGATGTGTGTATACGTGCTCAAGCCTAAACACCGAGGCTAACATTCGAAGTTCACTGCAGCGGACACTAGCTGTTTACCATTGTCCTACACAACACCTCGTGGCTCGGATATGTTCCGCAATTCGCCAACGTATCCCTATCCGACGCTTTTCAGTGCTGCACCAGACGAATGTTTTCCACAACTGCTAAGCTGTCTGCCGGCGAAAGAAGAGCTTATGGAATACTTGAGAGCTTTCCAGAGACGAGTCTATCAAGTGCCTGCGGAGATGACGATTAATGAGGTAGAAGACTTCCTCTCAGACGCTAGAAAGAACTCTGAGCTCTATCCGACTACTTTGGCGTTTCTGTTTGGGCTTATCGCACTGGGAACGCAACACTCAACGTGGGATAGAGGAGGAGGAAAATGGGAAGCCAAATTCATCGAAGTCGAAACGCAGAAGAGCAAAGTCTATAGTGAGTCTATCGGAGGGTGTTGGTAACAGGACTAACATATTTGATACAGTTGCAGCAGCGATGCAAGCTTTACGATTGGCTTCATTTACACACAAGCCTTCCCTCTCGTCAATTCAAACGCTGCTCATGATCGGAAGTTATTTGACCAACGATGGAAGAATGCTAGACGCATACACTTTATTCGGTACTACTATTCGCCTCGCCCATTCGACTGGTCTTCATCGTCACCCGAAATATCTTGATCCGGCACCCACAAACGAGAAGGACTGCGCAGTGCGACAAAAGGTGTGGTGGCATATGTTGCACCTGGATGAACATATGTCCATGACGCTCGGCAGACCGCTTGGAATAACCGGCATCGGAGACAATCCTTGGCCGGTCGAGTTGACGACTGATCCAGTCTTGCTACGTTTTGGCGAATTTGTCAATCACTTCACCGTGTTGGCCAGGCAAATTATGAGTTGCGACCGCTTGACAAGTGTCAGGATTAATGAGCTCACAGACGCACTTCAAAGATTACTGGATACGGTGCCTGAGACGCTGCAATTTAATGACACCTGGATGTACTCTGAAACCAATTTACCTGATCTCTACGCTATAGCTATTGGTACGTATCACACCCTCATGCCATCGCTTCGGTCACATTTTTTCCAATGGTAGACTTTCAGCTGCAATGTTGTAGCATAAATAATCATGCGTCAACGTTCGCTTACATATTATAGTGTACTTCTGTAAAGCGCACACATACATCGTGCTCTTGAATCGACAGAGATTCGAGAAGCACACCACTCAGGACACCATGCCAATCGGCGCGGATAGTGAGACAACATTCCAAGCTGTCAACCGTTCGTTCTCTTCAGGGTTCCAACCAGAGACATGGTCAACACAAGCCACTCGTCGCGCAAGAGCGCTAGTACTTGCTTCATCGGAAGCTCTTCTTACTGCCTTCATCTTCTTTTATCATCGAGACCCAGCAGCGCTGATCTGTTGGACTCTAGCGCAACAGGCCTTCAACAGTTCTATGATCCTCCTATTGGACGCCATAGAATGCCGGACAATCACTGTTGGCGCCATGAAGGCAGAACAGGCGGTCGTCATTTTTAAAGATCTCTATGAGAACAACGTGCATAGCCTTGCCGGATTAGCCGTAGAGAAGATCAGCTGGGGTCTGCAAGAGCTGCATACAGCCATTACGAAGCAGCCTGGCGGTTTACTACGAAAACAGGGCAATGCGGCAGCCCAGGAAGCTAACAAGAATGAACCAACAAGGATTTTGTATAGGAGTGATACAGTTATGGGCCACACCGGAACGTTCCCACTCGAAGGCCCTGGTCAACAAGCTCTCCAAGACGGAGTGTTTGTCCTGGAAACATGGGATGATCTCCAAACCTCAACCCAATTCGGAGAACAACAACAAGGGTCATCTTATCTCCACATGGCAGACCAGAAAGAAACAGCACCATCCAAGGACGACGCTGACAGTTCTAGACCGGCAGAGATCATGCAGGGTCTACGCAGATCGACCACGTTGCGATCAGCGCCCACAAGATACGCGACAAGGTCTGGGGACGATCACATGCAGCCACATGGTTACACGGCTCCAGCATCGCCCTCTGACTTCTTCATACTGCATGGACACGGGCGGAAGGATACGACGAACCCTCACGAGTGGCAAACCTCTCAAGGAGATGAGAGAACCATTCCGCTTCACTTACACAGTCAGCTGCAGAAGGTCACAGCATCAGCAGAAGCGGAGAACGACATGTTTTGGAATCAAGGCTGGCGCTTCGAAGGCCCGGACGAAAGTCAAGGACATGAAACCCCACCTTCCGCATGGAGCCATCCGCGAGACGAGTCCCACGGCCTGCATAGACATAGATCCTGTCCCGGAATCCCCCCAACCAACGCGCAACCGCCACTCTTGAGGCCGCATTATTCCCTGCTGAGCGAAAATGATAGATCAACGGCCCGAACATCGCGAAACATACCACTGCGGACTACTAGCTCAGGAGATTACACCCCCTTCGACGCACCACAATATCCCTCTTACGACTCGGATCCGAGACCTTACAACCACTTTGCCTCTAGCCCTGCAGTACCGTTACCGATATCAAGTATCGCTGAGGCCGCACGTGTATATGCGCCGACCACTCATGGGATGTCCCAACAAGGAGAGCAAACGCATATGAGATGCCCGGTCGTTCTACATCCATCGACTGTGGGTCCTTCATCCTCGCGTACGCCTCTAGCCTCTAGCCGCGATATGGATGATTGGAATGGATACATGGGTAGTGAAGGGTTTAGAGAAGGGGATGTGAAGTGACACAGTAATGCAGATGTCACTTTCTATAGAGGGATTATTGGAGCAACACATCTTCAGCATTGCGAATGGGAAACATAGAAACATACTCAGCGAACATCGGCATTCATTCCACGATTTCATTCATCCCACGTCCCGGAAATCCGGTTAGGCATGACGTTATGAGAATCAGCAATGCGATATACCCCCACCAGAACTCCCAACATCCACCTTCCGGCCTTTCCCATCTGCTTTTTTGTGTATGTATGATCGCACATACCCGATATCATGGTCATGATGGTCCCGGTGTATGCGCCCATGGAGCCATTTGTCACATCCGACCCGAGCACCTGATCAAGATGCTCTAGGCCACACTTTCGCTCTCTCTTTCATTTCCTTCTTTAGTTGCAGCAATGCATCCTCAACACCTCAGCTGTGTCAGATGCGATGAAGAAAATTATCTTGGGCTATTTGTCACCCTTAGCCCGAAAATACGGTTCTAGAAGTGGCTTCAAAACGTGCGCGGCGGCGTTACAGCCTTGCCGTCTCTCGAATCGGCGACTGGATGCCGATTACTGAGAGGGAAAAGAATGGGTGTAAGCAGATCTAGCCTCGATGCATCAAGGTGACAGGTTTCTTTTGACCTGCAAAGCATAGACAGTGACGCTACGGCCCGCAACATGAGCCACCGGTCTAGCCAGATATCCACATGCATATGGTTGGTGGGTAGTCTTTCACTAATTATTCGTCCCGTACAGCAGCATGGTTTACACCATGTGCTAGAGACGCATACTACGCACCCCGATAGAAAAAGTGACAGGTTTCTGGGTCACACTCTTCCGAATCGAAGACCTGAACGCGGTACAGAATCGTCATTTGAAGCCTGCCATCGGTGAAGCACGCGCGAATTCCACATTGCACAGCAGGAAATCCGGGATCACGCACATGCAGCAAAGCGCTCAGCGCCGACAATGTCACATGCTGCAGGGCGCCATCTCGTCAAAGCCATTGTTCTCTCAGATCCGAGGCAGTGGAGGCGACTGGTTCATTCCGAGTGCGAGATATGATAGTACCGTGATCGACGTAAGAGAAGCTATTTGGGGGCAGCTTCGCGGGTTGTCAGTGGCGTATCTGTGTGGAGAGAAAGCAGTTGGGGCTTGCAGCGCAACGTTGGGCCTCACTTGCTAGGGCAAGATCTCCATAAGTGCGTGGGTGCTAGGATGTGCATGACCAACAACGACCAAGGCATTACCTAGCTGTTTCGTGGGTCTTGCTGATCTCGGACGTGAGCGAACAACGCTTTTTTTCGACGTCGAACATCCGTTCCCACAGCGTGGTCTCATCGTCATAGACGGCAATGAGATTATTGGCGCTTTGTAGTGCTTACTAGGATGATCAGCCTCGCTTATGATACGGTACATACGATATGAGTTTAGACAATGGTTTGTTTTTTGACATCTATAACGTCGAAGTCTTGGCTCTTACTTGTGACCAGTGGAATACTGCCAACTTCTGCGTGAATTCTCGGTGATATGCTAAGACGCCAGTTGCAGGATCGCGCACCCCGAAGTGTCTGTCTACGTACTGAACGGTGTGTGTCATGTCGCAGCGGAAGTAGCAAAGTAGCACAACATGAAGTTTTCACAGCATTCTTGATGCTAATATGGCGTGATTACTGCATAGTACGCATGCAGCTGCCTGATTAGTGTACCCAAGTTTTCTTACGATAAGTCTAGTGTAGAACCTGGTGTATGTGTAAAGGTCTAGCTTCGTCGTGTTTGCTTGACGCTGTTGGCTGCCTACGTACATATACAACCTCGGATTCTTGATTGCCGGAGAAGAGATGTTAATAGGCTGCGAAGACCGCCAATAAATGTACCATTCCAAGACATAAAGCAATTCCATCCAACCTTGCGATATTGCCACTTGTGGGGTAAAGCTTATGTCGCATTCGTTGGCAAAGAATAGAGCAGAATGTCCCGTTAGCCTGCACCCGTCCGACTTCGACTGGAAGTGCGAGACGAGATTGAGAAAACACTCCGCTCGTTGGAAAAAGGAGGAGTTTGGTTGTGTGCAGTTCTTCATGACATCTACAAGACTGTTGCCTGGCTTGAACAAAGAGAATGCGGGAAAAGTCGGAGTAAGCAGAACATCTGACGCTGTTGGTCGGCTGTCCGTCTAAGCCGACCATGTCTCTCCTAAGCAAACAGAATGCTCATAAAACCGAGTCTTGTGGTGATAACCTTTGGAATCGATGCAGACAGTTGCGACTATACTTGCAAGCAAAATACTGTATGCCCAACCCAACTCGTTCAGCCTACATTAGATCAAATCACCATCGAACCCCCAGTCATGAGCAAGAGAAACCAAGAGAGTTTGCCTAATCGGGATAGTACCTCGCACGAGTGTCGCTATCCCTTGGGCGATGATAGCTCAGATATTTGCACTCTTCCCGATGGCCGCAAACTAGGCTACGCACAATACGGTTCGCCTACCGGTCACCCAATCTTGTACCACCATGGCCTTCCAGGCTCTCGTCTCGAAGCCGCCTTTTACCACGACCTTGGCCTCGAGCTAGGCTTGAGGATAATCTCGGTCGATAGGCCTGGTATAGGCTGGAGCACACCACATCCCCAACGAACGCTACTCGACTGCCCAAAAGATCTCGAAAGTCTGATTGAACATCTTCATCTCGAATCTTACTCGATACTAGGCGCATCGGGAGGCGGTCCATACGTTCTCGCTTGCGCGGCAATACTTTCTCCGACGAAGCTAAAATGCATATCCATCGTATGCGGACTTGGACCGATGGACATCGGCATGAAGGGAGCGGACTTCATGCACAAAATTGGCTTCCCGTACGGATGGAAGTACACTCCCGAGTTCCTGATGGAATGGTATTTCAGCCGCGATGTCTTCGGGCAAATGGACATGACCGACGAACAGCGTCTTCAGCGCGCGCTGTCTCCCTCAAGTCTCGCCAAAATAAAGGATCCAAGGGACCGAAAGATCATGAACGATGAGGACGTCATTCGCCTGGTATTGCGGTCAACCCGCGAAGCGAGAGCGCAAGGATTTGAAGGCATAGCTTTGGACGGGAAGGTGTTGTGTCGCGATTGGGGTTTCCAGATCGAAGGCATCAGAAAGGATCTGCGAGTACAATTGTGGTATGGCAAGGACGATTGTTTCGTGCCTGCCAATCATGGTGTGCAGATTGCAGCGAGATTAGGCGGTGATGATGGAAGGGTTGTGCTGAGGCTTGAAGACGATACGCATACCACTATTTCGCAAAGGTGGCAGAGGGAGCAGCTGGAAGCCATTGCTGCGGTGATGCGGAAATAAGGATACCAGGCCCACGCGCTGCCTCGGTCGGTGACAAAATGGCCCCGCTTGAGCCACCTCCAGAATCTCCATTCTCTGTTCATTCAGCAGTCACCCTGTTCTTCATCACGATTCCTTCGGCTTACTCTTTTCTTCAAACTCTCTTGCTTAATAGATTCGCTCTTCTCCACTTTGTGCTCTTCCTTGCCAATCTTGACTGGTTTTTGCCCAGCCTTCCCATTCTTGGGTTCCACCAGCTTAAGGTCCTCAAGCCAGGCTCTTGCATACTCCCAAATATCGATAGTGACCGCCCATGGCCGCCTTCCATACACCAGTCCAAGCGCGACTACTAAGCAGACAGGCACGCCGATGGCCCAGAGCTTATAGAACTGCGGTTTTCCAGGCCGGAAATCATCGCCCATGCTAAAGATGCCCGCGAGCAATGTGAGCGGAAAGACAATAGAGGCGAACAAACTTAAACGCAAGCTGAATTCGCCATCTGAGACGCCTCTGAATGCCGCACGCAGGTTGGCGAGATCGTTTGAGACGGAGTTTAAGGCCTCCGCGCGATCGCGCAACGGTTGCATCCTTGTGTGAATGGCGAGAAAGTCCTTTTGTGCACCTTGTAGTGCTAGAGATGTGTTTCTGTCGACGCTCTCGGAACCTAGTTGGACCCCCAGGCGTTCGAGATTCAGGTACATGGCGCGCCAAAAGTGGTTTAAATGTCGGCGCATGTAGTTGATATCCTTTGCGATCTCATTGATCTTGAGTAGGTCATTTTTCCATTTCTGCTTACTCAAGTTGTCGTCGATCTTAGCTTGATAGTCGTCGGAGAACCATTCGGCTCTGGCGATGGTGGTGTTCATGAGTTCCAGCTGATTCACCCAGTGCTGCGCGACGTGTTTGAGGAGGTAAAACGCAGAGTTGGATGATTTCTTGTTCGTTCTCTGGATGAGGTCGGGAGTGGCGAGCCTGGTCCAGTAGAACACCATCTCATCCATGGCACTCGTAAGGTTTCGCCTCCTCTGGAATATCCCAACGTTTGCCTCCTTTGCGCCCATGCCAACTTCTGAGAACATCAACGGAGCCAACGTAGAGCATCCATTATGATACGGCCAGCTCCGATGGGATTTTCCCTGGAGGGCATGAGGTGCACCCCAGTCTTGCGCTCTCCAGAGCGCCGACCTACTTTTGAATGGCTTCTCGGCCTGCAGGATTAGACAATCGTCCAGAGTCTTGAGTGCGCTTGGGTCTATTGGAAGTCCGTTGAACTTGGGTTCGTCTGGGTTTTCGGGCCTTGCAGGTGGTACAGCACAAGTAGCAGCAAATGCAGGATCCACAAGGATGACAGCTATACTCATGACTGTTAGCCATAGGCAACGGCTTCGAGCTGGTCTGGAAAACTTACCATCCCACCCCAGATCATCTGGTGTTTCATCTGACGACGAGCTCTGCGATGTCCAGAATGACGCGCATCGTCTCACAAAAGCATGTCTTCGATCGGGCTTGCCCAGCGAAGGTATATCGATATCTCTCCACCTTTCGTACCTCTAAGAGTAGGTGTACAAAGTCAGTGTATATGTTACACGCAACGTTCACAGAGATACTCACGCGCCGATTGACTGCAAATGACGTTTGTAAGCTAAGAACGTCGACCGATTTGGGCTCGAGCAAGGTGCGCAGTTCGTAATAGCGCAAGGTAA